ACTGTAAAGGTCTCAGGGGCTACTGTGGAGATTATGGATACCCCATACCTAACACGGTATGTATAGTCCGACTGGGTATGGGGTGCCATGTATAGATAGAATATCTTTAAAGGGACTTGGGTTAAATTCCAAACTTGTATGTCAAGGAAATACCCGGGATCCTAGTCGGTTAGGATTGAATCTTATCTGTAACTACCTATTCCGTTAGGGATATGGACTGTATTTTGTAATACGAATCCCTTCCCCTATATAAGGAGGTGTCCGGGTGCCTTTTGGGGCACGTTTTTCTCCCAGATCATACGATCAATAATACACTCGGCGGATCAATCCCCGGGCAGGAGTAGGGTATTACTTCTTGATTAAGAAGGCCTGAACCTGTATAAAATTCTTTGTCTTTCAACCCATCCACTTTTCCAGCTTGATAGTCACCCCCTTTTAGTATTGCTGAAATCTTGTTTCGACAAGAGGTGGGTTGTGGTATTTTTTTTCTAAAGATAAGGACCACCGACTTATTAGAATGTGACAATTAAAAAGTGTCCATAGAAATACCACGTGATGGGTTAGTAGTGTTTATAGAAAGTTTAGTGGACTTTTAGTATATAAGAGATATTATCTTTATCTTTACCTATATATTATAAAAGTTTAAGATGTTTTTGTCAAGTATTTTCGTACGTTGCGCAATCTGATTCGCTCACCGTGCGTGTTTTTTGCGATGTTTCCGCTATTTTTCCGTCCGATTCCCTCCCTATTATAAAATTTTAATCGGGCATATCTACAAGAACTAAGAGAACCCTGAAAAAATTATCCAATCAGACTGAACTACATGTTCTAGAAGGGGAGAACAAGGAAAGAATCCAATCGAGCGGTTCCAATTGAACACAGATAAACGATGGAGAACCCTAGCGAAAGAAGAAATAGGAGGAAGAAAAATCACACAAATTGTAGGCGTGGAAAATATCGTTGAACGGCGGTTCTTCTCATAGGCCATGCGTTCACCTCTTGAAACAGGTGCCATGGGACAGTACAGAGGCGAAGGCGACCACCTCCTGCCGCACCCTACCCTCCCCAAATACCGCATGTCGATCGGCTTTGACCGGCACAACAACATGGAGGAGGAGGGGCTGATGTCGATGGCTAGGGGGAGGGACGATTGACGGCGGCGTGGCGCGTGGATGATGAAGAAGGAGAAGAATGTTGGCGCGGCAGCGGCATGATGCAAGGAGGATGCCATCGTCCTGGCGAGCGCGGTGTGAAAGAGAAGCGGCGCAGCACTGGTGCGGGGTGTGCCGGTGCGGCTGAGGAATGAGATGGAGAAGGCTGAAAAGGGGAGTTGGATTAGGGTTTTGCTAATGTTGGGCCTGGTGGGCTGCTCGGGCCTCCCTCCCACACATCATCCATTATATGTTGGGTTAATTGCATATATGCCATTAAAATTTTACCAATTTTGAAATATGCCACCAGCATTCGTGTATTTGAAACCATGCCATTATAATTTTACATATGTTTGAGCCAGATATGCCACTGCTTACCCCTTAGATGCATTTCCAATAAATTTTGGACCAAATTGCCCTTCTCTCTTCTTCTTCTTCCTTCCTCCCCTTCTCCTTTCTTCTTGCTCGACGACGGCGGTGGAGCAGCAGGAGCAGCGGGGACGGCGGCGCGAGTGGCAGCAGCGAGCAGCGGCGGAGCTAGCGGCAACAGTGAGGGCGGCAGAGCAAGCTACGGCGCGCGGCAGCAGGGACAGCGGCGGGAACAGCATGGCGCGGTGAACCTCCTCGTCAGCGGCGCTGTCCTTCCATGGGGCGCTTGCTCCTTCCATGTGGCGCTCGCGCTTGTGGCCGACGGTGCGCCGGGTGAGACGCGGTGCGAGCTCCTGGGATTCCTCGGTTCGCCGTCGCTCGCCGAGCTTCACCGCGCTTCGGTGACACGACTCGTCACTAGGCTTCGCCACCTGCCGAACACGTTCATGCGACGGCGCCGCGACGAGCGGCGGCAGCAGCAGCAGCAACAGGGCCGCGGCGGCAAGCGGCAGCAGTGGCTGCGGCGACACGGCGGAGGCAGTGGCGAGCTGCAACGGCGGTGAGCGGCGGCATCACGAGCATCATTAGGAGCAGCGGGGACGGAATGAACGGCGCAGCGAGGGGAGAGAGAGGGGTAGAAGATGGGGAAGAGAGAGAGGTAGAAGATGAGCGCATTTTCGTCTAATACATGTAAAATACGTATCTCAGTGGCACCACTAAGATTTCAAACAAGTAGCAGTGGCATCGTTATAGTAATGGTATATTTCAAAACTGCTAAAATTTTAATGGCATGGATCTAATTAACCCTTATATTTGCGGTGTTCCTACCTTCCAGTTCATTTTTAATCTCAACGATGAGAACACTGTCAAAAATGGAATGTCTCTGGTGGTAGGATGATGAGCTAATATTTTTCTCAAAAGTTGCTAATTCGATTTAGTGACCAAAATTGCATCAGTTCGAATTTTCATCTGACTATAAAATAAGTTCTTTTTTAATTTATAGCTAATTTCAGTTGTTTCTCTATTTACAATATTAGTTTCAGCTCTATTTGATCCATTAAAATTTATTGATTATAATTTTCCTCTGAATTAAATTATTTATAGCTAAATGAAAAAAAAGGATTTAGTTATATAATTTTTATGATATTTATTTTTTTATCATTTATGCCCAATTATGATATGTGGTTTAGAATTTTAATTTATTTGAATAAATGTTATTTACAACCTGTTGCAACGCACGGGTATTTTTTCTAGTAGTAGAGTATAAAACTAAAAATAGTTTGAAAATATTATTTAAGCAATGATGACGAAGAAATTTTGTGGAGAATCGTACAGTTAAAGCATGACATGTGTTATTCGGTTGATATTACGTCTTTATAAGTTTCTCAAATACAACCCACAATGCATGCCCACATATTCGTGAAGGTTTCGTTTCTAAGGTAATGGCAGAGCAGGCGATCGATATAATCTCGTAGTCTTAGGTCCCACGGACCTAGAATTTTTATTAAGAACTGTCTTTCTCTATGTTTCTCTGTAGAGATTTTGCGCAATGCTCTGAACTAGACGGTATGGACATGGTTGCTCGTGCTGATTTATTGGTCACATGGTGCTGTACACCATGACATGTTTGGCTACTAGTCCTTTTGCACGGCTATTAACAACCCTGAAGAGGATGACAAACAACATTCTAGAAAATTTTATTCCGAAATTTTGGAATCCATTTGACAAATCAAAATTACAGGATATAATATATATAATCGCAACTTCACAAATAGATAAAAAACACAAAATTACATTGGTTACTAAAAAAAAGTACTATGACTTGAATGTAGAAATTGGTAACACCTAAATGTAGAAATTGGTAACACCTAACTAGCTTACAGCGTTAGACTTGTTCGATCACCTAACTAGCTTATGGCTCCTTCGTGATATTGATTATGACATGGCTGGCAGTGCTGCCATTGATGTCGTCGTCCTTGCTGACAGGGGTGACGATGCTGGTTTCCTTGGCGACAGGGGCGACGGTTGGCAGCTCAAGATTCTTATCTTGATTCTTATCTTACCAGCTCAAGAGGATGAGTTGCATGAGAGTAAAGAGCACGCCAAGACCATTGGGTATGGTGATGAAGATGTCGAAGCGGATGAGCGCGTATGATGTCCAGCAGAGTCCATTGAGGAAGCTCACCACTGACAACAGCAACGGCATGTACTCCACGCTTTTAGTCTTCACAACCTGACTCATGATGGTGAGTGGTGAGGAGTACATGATGGTACCAAAGATGACGCAGAGGATGCCGACGATCAAGGAGCGTCTCTGATGGGTGTGCGCGCCCAAAAGCACGCCGAGTGCCACCGCCGCCATGAAGAGAGCCTCCGTAGCGAGCACCACTCCCATTTTCTTCTAGTTCTTCTTGTTGGAGAAGAGGAAGAAGATGGTGAGGTAGACGGCCTCGATGACGAGGCCAATGCCGTTGATGGTAACGACGAGGATGCTGTTGGGATGGACGATGGGGAGACCATAGAAGACCCAGAGCATGCAGTTGAGCAGCGTGGCCAAGTACGGGTCCGCCTTAAAGTATTTCATGTCCTTCTCCTTGATGATCCGCCAGAAGGTGAGCACCGGCGAGAGGAAGAGGCCAAAGGAGATGGCATTGCCAACGATGCCCACAACGTTGCGGATCAAGTCCGGGGACACCATCTCGCCGGCTGGTGGCGGCAGATGTCGATCGCCTTGTTGTTTGCTTGGTTAATGCGCTTAAAATATTTCAGGCTGAAATTGCTCGCTTGATCGTACACGAAGCAGTTGGTGTTGGTTTGGTAGCTCGTTGAAGCGGCGGAGGGCTGGATTTATACACGTTCGTACGTCCTAGGTACGCTCTGCAATCTCGATAGAGTCGGTATCGGAGTCTACTGGGATTAGGAAAGCTCGTTCCGTACGTGTCGGCCACGATTTGCGAGTCCGAGCAGCGTACGGCCCATGGCCAAACGGACAGATCACCAGGAGCCCGCTGGGCTGACTATGCGTGGGATGGAGGGAGTTTATGTTTCGTTCTTGTTTGTGTACGCCATTTGTTTCGGTAAACAGTTAATCTGTGATTTAACGAAAATGGTATTTTGCGCGCGCGTTGTGGGAGAATTAATACTCCCCAGATCGACCCCAGTCCAGCCCTGCACGAGGCCTTTTTGGCTTTCACTATTCTTGGTAGTGTTTATTATTGCTATTATTTGAATGTGGTTCTTAATAATAAGTTGTGTGCAAAAGATGTATTTGGAAAGTTGTCAAGAATTTGACATTGAAAGTGAAACAACCATTGGAAGTTCAAACTTTTCTATTGAAAGTTATCAGCAATTCCTGTTGAAAAATATGCAACAAAAAAAGGTTAAGGACTTCGCATGCTTTTGCATTTTCGTGAAAAGAATCACGCTTTTCTTTTTCGCCGACGAGAGTGCTGGCTTAAGATTAAACCGATTGATCTTAGCTAAGCACACAACATTTTTGTAATCTTTATTTGAAACAACAACACACAACATTGGAACATGAGGTAAAAAAAAAAGAGATACTCTTCTTTTGCCCATTTATGATTATTGCTAGCTTGCAACAAAATACTACGACAATTAAGACAACCAAAATTAAAACAATCATAAGTTCGTGCACCCTCATCTCCATACATCAATCAAAACAAAACTCGTAGCAAAGGCACACGTGAAAACACCTTCTCGGTAATTCACTCGTCGGGCTCGTCGGCACCGTCCGTCTCCGCGCACACACACCGGAAGTGCCCGGCCGGCTGGCCGGCGGCGGAGCAGACGCAGCGGCGGCGCCCGTTGTCCGTGGACCCACTGTCGTCGTCCTCCTCCTCGCCGTTCACGACGGTGACGACCACCTTCTTCTCCATCTCCGGCGCCTTCTCGGCGCGCTCCTCCCGCTTCGGCGGTGGCGGGCGTGTTGCCGCCGCCGGCTCGTCGTCCTTGGACGACGGCGGCATCTGCATCTTCTGCTGGTGAGTTGCCATTGGTTTGATGCTTGTGATGACACGTCCAATTGTTAGCTAGCTGCAACGAAGCTAGGTGTGGGTGTGGCCGAATATATGGAGCTGGAAGAGCGGTGCGGTTCACCGAGATGACGACTCGTGGCTGCAACCTGCATGATTACGTGGCTGTGTTCGGTACCCTTATTTCCAACCCCGCTCCCTCATTTTTTACACGCATATTTTTTAAACTGTTAAACAGTGAGTTTTTCAAAAGAAGTTTCTATATGAAAGTGGCTTAAAAAGTTTAAATTAATTATTTTTTAAAAAATAGTTAATACTTAATTAATTACACGCTAATATAGGCCGCTTCGGTTGGGAGCAGTGCCGAACACAGCTATATATGGGCCTTTCCATTGTGGAAGACGTGGCGGCATAGCGGAGAAACACAGAGAGCAATGAGACACATCTTGAGCTGTAATCTCTGCAGGAAATGTTTGAGCAGTTGCAGCGCCAGTGAACATGTGAGAGTTATATTTTACCTTAAAAAATTTCATGCAGTAAATGGGGACTATTGTTCTTACTACACGAGGTTTTATTATTATTGTTATTAGAGCATCCTCAACGAACTACCAAAAATTTAATCTCCTGAATCTTTTTGACTGTCTATCTGTCACTCGGTTGATTTATTTTTCACTTACACTCAAATAGGTTACTACTAAAGAAAATATCGAAAGTCAAACCGACACAAAGCTTTCGAGACTAATAACCCCGAAAATTTGACAAAATTATCGTTTTAGGAAACTTATTTGAGGATTGAACCGTGATAAAAACTAATTGCAAAAATAAACCTTTTATTCAGCGCCAATCCCGATAGCGCTGCGCAACAAGGAAAAGCCAAATCAGCAAAGCTCAGCGGCACACTACTTGGCGCTGAGGTCTTCATTGATAAAGGCGCAAACATGCGCCTATGTTTACAACAACTCTTCTTAGCTCAGTGGTGGGTGATATCATCTTGCAACTAAAAGGTGCTAGGTTCGATTGGATTTTTTTATAATTTAGTCCTTTTAAAAAAAACTTATTTCGCAAATAGACTAAGAAAACTTATCCCAAAAATGATCCTTTTCAGGCGCCAGAGTCACTAGGGCTGTCGTCCCCCGCCATTTTTCCCTCTCTTCTCCTCTCTAGTGTAGAGAGAGATGTGCACCATTTTTATTTTTATTTTATTTTTTTAATACTTAGGAGCTCATAAGAACCTACCATGAAAAAAATAAACTCAAATGGACGAAATATGTAACTCGTAGAATTTTCCAAAACTCTACCGAAAATAGGTGTTTTTCGGGTGTCATTTCTTAGAATAGGTTTAACTTTCTCATACGTGCTCAGAATCAGGCAAATAATATATCCACGGACATCTACAGAAAAAGTTACATCTGATTCTCCCCGCTTTATCAGGTTCGGCGATATTAGAATCTCTATTTGAGTTTATTTTTTCTATGGTTGGTTCTTGTGTGCTCCTAAACGTGAAAAAAATATCAAAAAAATAAAATAAAAATAAAAATTGCTGGGGGTGGGGCAGCCACAGTGGCGCGCTCCCCCTGCCACCTCAGCACCGCCCCACCACGTCAGCAGGAGGACGACGCCAGATAGACTGGCGCCGTCCCATTGGACGACAGCGCCAGTGACTCTGGCGCCTCCAAAAGGACCATTTTTTCAGGGGTATATTTGCGAAATAAGTTTTTTAAAAGGACCAAATTGTGAAAAATCCAGCTAGGTTCGATTCCCAGTCACCCCTTGTTTTCTTCTTTTTCTTATTTGTTTCTTTTACTGTCCTGTAAAAAATAAATCGAAAGAACGTAACTTTCTTAATTTTTTATCTTTAAATTGGAAAGAGTAACTTTTTTGTATTGTTTTCTCTTATTCTAATATGGAAAGAACGGTATTTTCCCAATACCCTCTTAATATTTATATGGAAAGAACATTAGTCTCCTAACTTTTTCTCCTAATATTTACATGGAAAGAAAATTACTCTCCTAATATTTGTATGGAAAGTACTAATCTTTTTCTTATTTGTAAAGTTCAAAATGAAAGAAGTTTTTAAACGACATATATTTTTTAAAACAAATTTACTTTTTTTCATTTTTTTCAAATTAAAAACAAGTAAATTTACAAATAAAGAGAGAAATAAAAAAAGCTAAAAATAAGAAAGACGCAAGGGTGTCGATTTATAGTATTAATACAAACATGATATTATATAATTTAAGTTCCAAAATTTAATTTTTTTCTATATTCATATAACAAATATAAAAAGAGAACGAAAAATAAGCTAGATAGGAGAAGAAATGATGACAAGGAGAAATGATGGCAGAAATGATGACATATCAGTGCTGGCAGAAATGATGACAAGGAGAACCGGGGCAGGACTTGGACGGGATCTCATTTGTGTTGGTTTGGCATAGATTATTTTGCCATTGCAGTTTCGCTGCTTAATTAGTTCGTTTTGTGGAATCTCAACTTGTGAGATTCATTTTAAATTCAGAATTTATCCAGATTGTTTCTTCTACGTTTTGTCCTGCGGTCACCATTTGTTTGTAGAAGATAACCTTCTTGGCAAGGTCAACCGCATTTCGCTCGGTTGATAATCAATGGAGAAGTGCCATAATGATTGTGTTGGAATTAATAGATGGGCCTTAGCCTATTCGAAGATTAATTCTTTGGAAAATCACAAAAGCCAACCTCATGGGATGGCATGCATGGAGAGTTTAGTACCACCTTGCTTATTCTAGGAGAGTGGGACCTCCTTAAAAGGGAGGATGCCCTCCTAGCCACTTGAAGCATGTCTAGTGGAGAGAAGAGGGGGAACACACGTGCGCGCTCGCTGGCCTGGCCTGGCCTGGCAGGGCAGGCGGCGCGCGTGCACGACGTATGCGTCAAATGGTCCGCAAAATTGGCTCCTCACCCTTGCGCAGATGCAGCCTCCTTTTGCAGTTTTGTTTTGCTGCAGGAAATTCGGATTTGTTTTGTTTTGGAAACATTCCGAAAAATCCGGTGCGTGTAAAACGGCGTGGAGTCCGGATAAGTTACGCGTGACTTATCCGGTTCGGTTACGCGGAGTGGAGATCGTGCGGGCGCCCTGATCAAGCGACCTATCTCTATGTAAGCCGAGCCGCCGCCTTCACGCAATACACGCGAAATCTATCTAGGGTTTGCCTCCTACTCCGTGCTGCGCCGTCGCTCGTAGACTACTCCATCCCGCTCGCCAGAGTGCACCGGCGATCGGGAGAGCAGGTCTCCGGAACCTCTGCCTTCGACGTCCTGCACCGGGAGAAGGCGGCAATAAGGTTTTTGGGAAGCGCTTCGCGCGACTACTCCCTGTTCGTCCGCGACAGCTCGTCTTCCTCTTCGCTCGCGTGCTGCGCGCCTTCGTCGACGCTCGCAACCGCGAGTGATTCCTGCCGAGCAACCGGTTGTTCCGCAACCTCGGTACGTGTTCAACATGTTGCACATATTTGATCTGTTTACGTTTTACTGCTTAGTTTACATGTGTAGATCTAATGATACGTTCATACTAGTATACATCTGTAATGTCATAATTTATTTATGAAATAAATTAAATCATTATATGCCTATAATCTCAGCAGATTGCCTGGAGTTCGATCATTCCAGAGCCTTTGTTTGGATCATGAACGTCGGGTCTCCATAATCGATCTATCCAATACCTATCGAAACATCAGTACCTTGTTCTGAATGGCTATGAGTAGCTAGCACAGTATGCATGAAATTTTTTCTTGTACATAACTGACGGATGCAAAAGGGGTGAACAGATGTGCAGGATCAGTGTGGATGGTTACCTGGTGTGGCTCTATCATCATTAACCAATTATTTCTGACACATGGTCCAACACTTAATGTTGAACTTTTTCTTCCGTTACAAATTAATCTATCTGTTGTAGTGATCAGAAGCAACAAAGAGTAACACATCACCTGTGAAGAATGCTACCCCTCCGTCCCCTAATATAAAGAATTTTGATAATTTATTGTATTGTTTGACCATTCGTCTTATTAAAAAAATTTTGAATTATTATTTATTTTATTTATGATTTAGTACTTGAAGCACAATTTTTTTGTTTTTTATATTTGCATATATTATTTTAATAAGACGAGTAGTCAAACCGTCCATCGTAGTTGCCAGCCATTGCATATCTCCCATCCCATGCCCGTCCTCATCAGCTTCGGTCTCCCACGCTTCCTCAACATTGTGAAAAGTCCAATTTTATCTCTAAACTAGGACGCTATTTAGATCCCACCTTAAAATTTTTCAACCTATCACATCGAATATTTAAATATCTGCATAAAGTATTAAATATAGACTAAAATAACTAATTACACAGATTGCGACTAATTTGTGAGACGAATTTTTTAAGCCTAATTGCTCCATGTTTGACAATGTGGTGTTATAATAAACATTTGCTAATGATAGATTAATTGGGCTTAATAAATTCGTCTCGCGGTTTACTGACGGATTCTGTAATTAGTTTTCTTATTAGTGTCCAAACACCCCATGCAACACCCTATATAATATCCGACGTGACACGCAGAAACTTTACACCTCTAAATCTAAACACCCCTCGAGAAACCATTTATTTTTCAACATAAACTTTGCGAACCATTTACTTTTCTACCCGTGCTCTCCCTATCTGTTTTGTTGACTGCAGCCTCTCTCCAGGTAGATAAAATATTTCCCACCCCATCAGAAAGCCGTCAACAAGGTAATACACATGACAAAGATCTAGGGTTGGTAAGCCAAATCATAGTATGGACAGGGAGGATGGATTCTAACATCTAGTAGTATGTCCACCCGCACTGCGCACCGTCGATGAAGTTGTCGAGATGCGTGCTCACGCTATGCAGTATTCAGCTTCGGTTCTCGGATTTTTGGGTGTATCTCTAATACTTTAATTTTACTTTTGTTGTAAGACTATAGTTAAATTAATAGAATTATATTCTTTATTTATTTACGCTCATGGTTTATGTATTTTTTTACTCAATATATGTTCTGTAAGTAGTATATACTTCGTATATCTGCTTCATCCTAGGCTACGTG